AGTAAATGCTGCTCCATCTGAAAGCATGTGAAAATACCACATTTAAAAACATTTTTACTCCAAACTCACTTCATAACGTCAGTCGAGTGTTTGAAATAAATCCTTCTGTGAGATGATGTGGCTTCTTACACAGAATAAGGCACGCAACATATTTCATAGTATTTAAGCAGTGATAGAGGCATTTCATTATTATATACTTTATTATAAGGACAATTATAGGAGGAAGAACTCAGATAAACCATATATTATCATAGTCATGTGTTTATTAATCACGTTGATTGCGATATCATTGCAATTTGTCGCGATTTATCGTGCAGCCCTACTCCACATCATCTAGTCACTTGTGCACATCATAAAAGCAGTTTCTCATTCTTTTGAACAACTTGCGATTGCTTTGGTACATTCATGCAACTGATTATGTACATTTGTCTGCGGTTTCCAATGCTATAATTTGCTAATATCATGCTGCTCAAAATGTATTATATAGTTCTCTGTGCAATAGTCTTTCCCCTCAAAACATCTAGTCATTGGTTCATCGTATAAGTCATTAAATGCAAAATGGTTGATCTAGTTGTCATAAACTGTCAAGCACATTTTCTACACAATTCTATTAGACTTTTTGTAAATTTGCCATGAATTGTGCAGGTGAATCTTGACTTTCACTAATGAAGAGAATGTAGATCAACCAATGATGAACCAGTTTTCTGAAATAGCTCAAGTGTAACTGTGAATCCTGTCCAGTCTCTTTCAATCAATATCCCACACACAGTAATGTGTAAATTTGTACTTTAGAAATGGACATATGGCATACATAGGAAGTGCAGCCTTCTGCATTTCAATACAGTAATTGTCATCCAAACTGTTGCCATAGTTTACATCAGGTAATACTAACAGAGTTCACTGTTATATTGACAACATGACTAAGCATTTTGACTATCTTGTTTGTGAACAATGACACAAGGACTTTTCATTGTGATGGCACTGATATGTTCATTTACATAAATACTTACTTTTGAGAGATGAGCTAAAGATTTCGAGTAAGTTACAGGCTTTTGCAAGTAATCCAGTGTGTGATGCTATTTGTACAAACTGTTTTGAGAAATGCACATACTTCTTTGCAAATATTAAGAATGATTCAAGAAATACACCAAAGCGACTGAGAAAAACTGTAATGTTATTTCACACATGTCCGTTATGACTCCATCATGTTGATTTTAAAAGAACAGTTCACCCTAAAATGAATATTCTGTCATCATTTCTCCACCTCATGTGGTGCCAAAATAGAGCTGCACGATATTGTAAAAAACGGAAACAGCAATATTTAGTTTTTCTGCAACTACATATTTGTAATATGAAATTATACAGGAATTTTCACCGGATGGCTTAAATAGCTATATTTGGAAAGAATGAATCATTCTAGAACGAGTGGGATGATTTTTAGGATGAGTGCATCTGCATTAAAAAAAAGTAAAAAGCTGAAATATAGCTTATGACTCTGAGGAATTTTTAAGCATGAATTGAAAAAAAAAATTGGTGTTCATATTTAAGTTTACTTTTTATAAGAACTAACTCAAACCTTTTTCAGTTACCATAAAGTGAACAGTGAGGTGTTTTTAAAAAAATCAGTTTTCACTTGAGTTTTAATAAAATTGATATTGCGATATGGCTCGGTGCAATCATGCAGGCTGCAGCCTTTTAAAAGCTCGGCATTTACACACGTGTAGTTCATGATGCAGTTTGTTTCTGTTGCGCTTAAATCTGAAACTGGCAGCAAATATTTTTGCTGGCAACCCGTCATTTCAAAAATAAAGAAATGAAGACGTAAATGTTAGTATTGTAGTTTTGTAGCAAAATAAGTTTTATTACTAAAATTATTTTACAGTAGAATAGTATTATTACAATATTTTTTTGTTTTTTATTTTTGTATTACATTTAAAAAAAAATTATAAATACAATTGTAATATATTATCTTTAAAGGTACAGTAGTCAACGCCGACATACAGCGTAACTTTGTTTGTGGCGACCTGAGTTCGAATCCCGTCTCGTGGTCCTTTGTCAATCCCCTCTCTCTCCACCCAATTCTTTCCTGTCAGCTCTATACTGTCCTGTCCGAATAAAGGCATAAAAAGCCCATAAATAAACCTTTAATAAATAAAATAAAGGTAGCATAGGCGATTTTGGAGAGGTTAGCAATAACAAGGTAGCTTTGAAAGCATAAGATCTCTCCCTCCCTGCAAATCACTCTCCAAAGTCACGCCTCCTCCAAAACACATGAACGCACACCGGCAGAGCAGAGGCTAACCAGAAACACGATGAGAGACGGCGTCAACGCTGTCAAATAACCTAATGTCTTAAAAACATTACAGTACAAAGCGCATAATATTACAATAATAACACCCTTCATTCTCGCTCAGTCTGCAATAGCGTAATGAACGCGCTGATGACGTATCATGTCTGCGCGAACAGGGTGTGCTGAGGTGTGCAAATACATACTTTGACAGATAGGTAGGACAGCCTATCGTAAAAGATTGGACGAACATTTTATGGTCCTACACCTTCCCCAGATTATATCCACCTAACTTAAGAATTGCTATTAGGATGTGAATAGACTGATGGCAGAAGGTCTGAGAACCTTGGCTGCTTTGACTGGTCAAGGTCCGCCCACGAAAACATATGACTGACAGTTAAAGCAACCAATCACGTTTCATTTTGTGCCGCGTCATGTTTATGGGTGTGGAAATGTCCCCACAATAACAGACCAGTGTGTAAAACTCTTGGACGTATTTTAAAGAGTCTATGCCGCGAACTTTACATATTTCACATATTTTTGAAAATCTAGCATTTAGTTGATCCCGATAAGCGCTCACTGTCACAGTTGTAAACAAGACGGCTTTGTTCTTCAATGAGGGGTTTGGCGTCACGGCATCTTTGTTTCCAGGCGGAACGTTAAAGAACGCGACACACACGTCTCCCGGAAATTCTGTATAATTCAACCAATCAGATGACGACTTCGAAACTCCTGAAGTGTTTTCCAGTATAGTGTGCCATAGTTATGGCCGCTTTCGAAGCACTGCTTTGAAACTTTTGTGAATCATTCGTTTCGAAACAGTGGTTCGGGGCGCGTATCAAACTGCCAAAGTCACGTGATTTCAGTAAGCGAGGCTTCATTACGTCATAACTGTTTCAAAACGTTTCAAAATTTCAAATTTGTTTTTTTTAGTTTCATCAATTTGTAGACATTTTCAACGAGTCATTTGTGTAATTAAACGGATGAGAAGTAGTTAATAGTCTCTTACTGGCCTCAATACACAAGCTCTCCATAAAACAAACAAAACAAGCCCTGCAAATTAATATTAAATAGTTTAAAAACCACATATTATACAGACATTATTATTAATATTTAATGGTATTTTATTATTTTTATTGTATTTAATGTATTATACTTTCAATAAAACATTTGCAATGGGTTTTTAAAAGCTGTTTATGCATGAGTTTTTGTTGCATATACACACTTTTGACCAGCAGGCGTCACTAGTGTGTGGCGTTTCGAGTGCTTCGAAACAGTGAATCATTTTGCAAAGCAATTGGTTCAGTTGATTCGAAGCTTCGAAAAGGTTGGTTTCTGCCATCACTAGTGTGCCGCATGCATCAGACGTTCAGCCAACGGTCCGGGGCGTGACGTCTTAGGCTGAGACTAGGATGTGAAGAGACTAATACAGAGTTCTGGCATGAAACTCTAGATGGCGCAGTCCGATAGGTCTAACTCAATCTGACCTAATGACATCATTATCACATGGCACAGCTGATTGGTTCTCTCCTGTATCGGTAGCCAATGAGCTCGCTGCTCAACATTCAAATATATGACTAGTGCTTGCTGTAGCAGTTGCAGCTTGCTTCAGAAACCCTCCACCTTCCCCAGCTCCACCTGTATAGATCTGCTACGAGGTGATTCATGTACACTATATGGGGGTTATTTCATGTATTTTGAAATATGAAATATTTGCAGCAGCAATATTTCTTACATGCTCACAGCAGCATGTTGTGGATGTATTGGCAGTAGCAAGTCTCGGTACTTGCTCTGCCGCAGCAGCAGCGTAGCAGATCTATTCCGCCAAGACCAAATACATTAACATTGTCATGTACATTACCATGCCAATCCCTCTGCGAGTTGTCATGACAGAACTTTTTTTTCACGAGAATTTCATTTGTTTTTAAAAACACATTTTTCTGTGCATGCTGATATTTGTTTAATTCTGTTTGTGCAGGAGGTGAAGGAACTGAACTTCCACTACTGGGCTCTGTTTGACGGTCATGGCGGTTCCGGAGCCGCGGTTTTCGCAGCCAAGTTCCTCCACCTCCATATCGAGGAGCAGCTGCAGGAGGTGCTGGAGATCCTGAAGAACCCGTCCCTCCAGCCGCCCACCTGTCTGGGCGAGGAGAACCCCGTCCATCACCTCCACCCGTCTGCCGGATGCTCCCAGCGGGGCCTGTCCCGGGCCGCTTCGCTCAGAGGGGCCGCCGGGGCCCCGGGGTCCCCTAATACAATGGCCCCACGGTTCTTCATGGAGAAGAAGATCAAACAGGAGAGTCTGGTGGTGGGAGCCATAGAGAACGCCTTCAAGGAGATAGTGAGTCTTTGGATCAGTTACTGTAGTAAACTCACATGGCCACTAGATGGCAGGCAGAGCTTATAGGAATGATGCATTATTGTAAGTGACTGTGTTGATTTTAAATTTCAGCTTTGCATAAGAGTAATAAATGAGATTTTAATATATATTCAAATAGAAATCAGTTATTTTAAATTGTAATAATGTTTCACAATTTTACAGATTTTGTTGTATTTTTGATCAAATAAATGCAGCCTTGGTGAGCATAAAAGAGTCTAGTGTACTTACAGATGGAAAGCAGCGATCCTATATGTGTGTTTTTTACTTAAATGTCGATTGAATCCAGTCTCATGTGACCCTGATTGAGTTCTCCATGTGTTTGTGTGATCTCAGGACTCTCATATCGCTCGAGAGAGGATGGTTTACTCTATATCTGGAGGATGTACCGCTCTAGTGGTGGTGTATTTACTCGAAAAACTGTACGTGGCCAACGCCGGTGACAGCAGGTGAGACTATTGCTATTACTAAACCAAATCACCATTTTGTAATATTTTGCACATTTCTTTTATTCTCATTTAAGAGTTTATGTCTAGATTAAAGAGATTAAAAAATGTCTAGATTTTTTTTTTCAGTGTATGCAACAATTAACAGCGTGACTTTATGAGTTTAGGACTTTCTGCTCTGATTTAAGACCTTTTTAGATCTTTATTTGAGGAATATCTTTTTGCATCAGAAGGAACAATAGTTCATAAGAAGGAACAAAAGTTATTTCCATATTCTAGTGGTTTGGAGCAGAAGTATTCTAGCCTTTTTTTGTGAAATGAATGAAAAAGCAATGGAGATCTGTTGGAAATTGTGTTGTCAGACAGACTTTGAACTTGAAGTGTTGCTAATACATTTACATTTAGAGACATATTGACGTATTGTGTTCCATTAAGATTATTCCTTAAATTTTCTTTACTTAATCTTAAAATGTCTTAAATTTTAACTTTATAATCCTGCAAACAATCATGGTTTCCACAAAAATATGAAGCAGCACAACTGTTTTCAACATTGATGATAATAATAAATGTTTCTTGAGCAGCAACAACATTCAGCTTTGATCACAGGAATAAATTGCATTTTTACAGTATATTCACATAGAAAACAGTTATTTTAAATAACAATATTATTGTTTTTATGACAAATAAAGGCAGCCTTGGTGAGCAAAATGTTTTCTTTCAAAAACATTAAAACATCTTACTGACACCAAACTTTTAAAAAGCGGTGTATGTTTAAATGTAATGTAATGAAAAATAAACGTGGCTTTTATTTAGCTTTGTTTTTAGTAGCATTGACATTGTCTGCTCTGTTTTACTCCATTCTTCTCTAGTAGACTCCACGCGTTTCATTTATTCTGCTCTGTTTTGTGCAAATATATACATTTTATGATTCTATTTTACGTTCTGTTCAGTATTCCATTCTGCCCTGTCCAGTGTATTCTATTCTCTTCTGTTGAAGTCTTGATGGTTCTGTCCTCTCTCCAGTGAGCGCTGTATGATGTGCACTCTGCTGTGTTTCAGGGCTCTGATCATCCGTGGAGGAGAGATCATTCCCATGTCCAGCTCCTTCACTCCTGAATCAGAGCGCCAGAGACTTCAGTTCCTGGTGAGAGAAATCTGGATTCACTTCTGCCATGTTCAGCAGCTGCTGGCCTTGGGAAATGGCTTTCCCTCTCTTGGATGTTTGTTTGCATTCTTTAAAGGACAGAATCCCTGATTATGGAGCACGTTTTTCTCTCTCAGGCTCACCTGCAGCCGTCGCTGCTGGGAAACGAGTTCACGCACTTGGAGTTTCCCAGAAGGGTCACAAAGAAAGAGGTTGGGAAGAGAATGCTGTACCGAGACTTTACCATGAACGGATGGTGAGTTCTGGAGTGTTGTTGAGTGTTGTACTGGATCTGATTAGCAGTCTATCAACAGTTATTCTGCTCAAGAACCGTTCATTTGACTGACATGTAAAGTGGCCAATCAGAGTTCATTTTGTTTTTATGTGCCTTTATCATGACATCACAATAATAGACCAGAAACCCAAGTAATGAAATAATTATTAATCAAATAAAATTACTATATTAATACAGTGGCGGCGCTAGGGCGGGGCTTGACGGGGTTATAGCCCCATCAGAAACTTGTTTAGTCCCGGCACAGTCCCCCCAAGGATTTCCTAATGATGTTCCTGTTTTTTGGTGTCACTTTCATTAACATTGAAAAATAAATATTAAAAACCTACAAAAAAAAAAAGTGGCTAATATGTGGCCTATAAACAATTGATATTATGGGGGAGGGGTCAAGCAACACAAGCAAGCAACGCGCAAACTGTGCGCAAGAGTTGAACGTCAGTCAATTCACTAGAGAGAAAGTGAAAGTAAAAAAAAAACTGACGGAGCTTTCTAACGCTGCATTAACGGCGCATATTCTCTGAGACAACGAGAGACGAAACTACCGTATTGGCCCGAATATAAGACGACCCCCCTTTTTCCAGATGTACCTTTTGGAAAAAGGCTTTTTAAAACCAAATCTTGTTTTTTCTCAGTAAAACACATTTTGTCTTCAATTATTTTCATATTGCATATTTTTCCTAGTTTAATTTTTGTTTTGAAAGTATGGTAAAAACTGGTAAAATGTACCAACAATCACATTTAAAAAATATACACTTTTTGATATACCATAAAAAAAAATGAATTTTTACATTAGGACATTTATGCTATCCATCTAATAGTAGCCCACCAATATCTTATTAACAGTAGAAGTTAAATCTTACTGTAGTCTTCAAATCTGTGTACTGTCTTACGTTTTAAAATCACAAAGGGAGTTTGGTCCCATCAGGCTAACGTGACAGTCACGACTCATGCAGCTGTAAGGTTTTCTTTTTCTTTTGTTTTTACTCGCGATCTTTACAACACGCATTACATTACGTGTTTCATGGCACACTCGTTTTATGCGTATTGGCGCCACCTATTGTTGTGGGTGTATTATTGACACGTCAAAGTCTAGACCCTGAATATAAGACGACCGCGTTTTGTCAGATGTATTTCCAAGAAAAAAACATCGTCTTCTATTCGGGTCAATACGGTACTTTAACATATGCTGATAACGGTATATAACTGTCTGAAATTATTCCCTTAATATTTCTCTTGTGGTCCGTATAGTGAAAAACAAGAAACGTATTTGGCATTAAACAGGTTGTTTTTGAAAATCGGTGCATGAAATAAAGCTGCTCTTAAAGGGATAGTTCACCCAAAAAGGAAAATTCTGTCATTAATTACTCACCCTCATGTCGTTCCAAACCCGTAAGACCGCCGTTCATCTTCGGAACACAAATTAAGATATTTTTGATGGAATCTGAGAGCTCTCTGACCCTCCCATAGACAGCAAGGGTACTACCACGATCAAGGTCCAGAAACGTAGCAAGGAGATCGATAAAATAATCCATGTGACATCAGGGGTTCAACCGTAATATTACGAAGCTACAAGAATACTTTTTGTGCGCAAAAGAAAAAAAAAAAGACTTTATTCAACAATTCGTCTCCTCCGCGTCACCCTGTAGTGCCATTTTGGAGAATATCCACTGAACACAAACGGCGTATGCTGTTCTGTGTCAGCCGCACCACACGGATCTGTTTTCTACGTTGTTTGTGCTTTGATTTGAACGAAAACAACGTATCCGTGTGGTGCGGCTGACACTTAATCCTTAAGCGTGCCAGTCCGCTATGCCACTGTGTGGAAATAGTTGTATGAATTGTCGGCACTTTATCTATCGTAAAAAAATTATTTTTTAGAATTTACCATGTTTTCCTGCCAGTTGGCATTGAGAGTGACTGACACTTGATGGTCAGAAAAAACGACTAAATAGATGTGTAAAAAAATAAATAAAATAACAATAAAATAAAATAATAAAAAAATCAGTACTTTCTCTCTTTTCTATGTGCGTTCATAAATTATATTAATTTGTAAGTGTCATATTTGGCAGTTGGCATTAGAAGTTATATTACTAATAACAGTGGAATATGAGAAGTTTAATAGGCTACCACGGAAAAAATTTAAAATGCGCCTTTTTCAAAGCTGCTGTATATAAAAAATACAAGGTGGCTGAATTTGCATGCTGTTTAGATAGCTGAAGCTTATAAACGTTCATTACTTTCACTCAATTTAATTCGTTTTTTAGGACCCCCTCTGAACTGTTAAGCCCCCCTTAGCACCCCCAAGAAAAAAATCCTGGAGCCGCCACTGTATTAATATCATAATTATTACAATTATTTTATTAATATTATTTTATTTTATTTTTATCAATAATTATTATATTAATATTTATTAATTATTATTGTAATCTAGCAATTATTAATTACATAAAATTGTACTTTGTTATTGATCTATAACATTTAAAAAATTAATCAAATTAATTAAAACAATTAATATCTATTATTATTTTATTAATATAATAATAATTAATGTTAATTATAATACATATATTAATATAATAATTATTGATACAATAAATGTGATAATTATCTATAATTATTATGTTAATATGTATTATTTATTACATTAAAATAACAATTATTGGTGAAAATAGTGGTTAATATTATTAATTAATAAAATCATATTATTTTTGTGGTAAATCTATTGTGAAAAACACACAAAAACCAAATTAATTCTGGTTGGTCACAAACTATTCATATGTTATTTATTTGACAAATATAATAATTATTATTCAAATAAATATTATTCACTATCATTAATCAATAAAAATCAAATAAATATCTGTATATTTGTACAGAAATGGGCAAAATGTATTGTGGTGTTGTGAAAAAGACACAAAAGCAAAATTAACTCTAGTTGTCATAAACAATTAACAATTATATTTAAATATTAAAATAATAATAATAATATTATCAATATTTTCATTAATAACCAATTATGTTATACAGTACATAAATAATTATTATCTGTATATTTGTACAGAAATCAACAAATAATTGTGTACATTTCAATATGTATAACCCTTTCCGTAATATTTTCCACAGTGCATTTTTGGAAATGTGTGTGCAGACATAATCAGATTTTCTGTCTGATTGGTCTGTGAGACGGATCTAGTCTGAATCAAGTGTTTAGAGCCGCTCCCTCAGGAGACATGAACTTCCATTAGTGAGTGAATGTGTGTGATCCTGCTCAGAAGTGTGTGTGTGTGTGTATGTGTGTGTGTGTGTGTGTGTGTGTGTGTGTGTGCGTGTACCTGGTATTTATCATGTGTGTGTGTGTGTGTGTGTGAGAGAGAGTGTGTCTGTGTGTGATTGTGTGAGCGTGAGCGTGTGCGTGTGTGTGTGTGGGCGTGTGTGAGTGTGGGCGTGTGTGTGTGTGTGTGTGTGTGTGCGTGTG